AAAGGGATTACATTTAAGGCTATGCCTGAGTTACCAGGAGAATAAGAGTTAAAAAGAAAACCATAAAAGGAATTAGAAACATGGAGTATGCCCGACATTTTAAACGGCTGCCTTTCCAGAGTCCAGAAAGACTTTGGTAACTCTCAGGAACAAGAACTCCAGCCTGGTTAGAGCTGACAAAAATCAAACCACTCCCACATCAGGACACACCTGAGGTGACCCGCTCTGGGCGGAAGTGGGAGGGAACAGGTGCGCGCTGTTGGACCAGCCAGAGAGGACAGGGGCGGGGCCTATGGAGGGGGAGGAACTAGCTCTTGGCTCCCACCCGTCCGGCAGTCGCGCAAGCGCACTGCAGATTCCCGGGCGGCGCCCCCTGGCGGCTCCCGCAGTCTCGCGGGGGCGGAGCCGGAGGCGGGGGGTTGCGCTTGGTGACGGGGGACGCGGGGCCGTATCGCGCTGGATTCGCGGCTGCGACCGAGGACGCTGAGCGCTGGCTGCAGCGGCGACGGTGGCGGGGAACCGCTGGAAGCTGGGGCGCGGCGTGTGGCCGGGCATGAGGGGCTGTGGCGGCGCGGCCCGCGCGCAGCCGGCCGGTGAGAGCGCGGGAGGTGGGCGGTGCGGGCCGGGAAGATGGCGGAGAGGCCGCCCAGAGGCCCCACGGCCTGGTCTGGCCCCGGCGGAGGCCCCCAGCCCAGTCGCGTTAAGAATCGGTGTCCCCTGCGGCCTGGGCTGGGAGGTCCGGAAGAGGGCGCCGCGGCCGAGGGCTCGGGCGTGTGAGGGAACCGTCCCGAGGGGTGGGTGTGAGGGATCGGGCGGAGGGTTGGCGCGAGGGAACCGGCCTGAGGGTGGGCGTGAGGGAACAGACTGGAGGTGGTTGGGCTGGTACCCCGCGCTTCACGTGATCCTGAGTGTGCCTGACCTCCGGATAGCAAGGTGCATGTGTGTCTCTGCCCAAAGACAGTTGTGCGAGAGCTTATGGCCCGGGGTGCTTGGGATTGTGCGGGACCTGAAGGTTGAGGGTGTGATTGTGCCCGGCCTGCAGACAGGTGTGCGTGCGTGTATGCCCCGGACAGGTGTGTTTGTGTCCTTCCTGCGCGCTGGACTCCATCCCCATTGCGCGATGCGGTTGGCGTGGGGACAGGTAGTGGCCGGCGGACAAGGTGCCTGCGGGCCAGGCTTTGTCCGCGAGTCCCTCGGAATCGGTGGGCGTCTCCGGGTCGGGTTGATGGCTGGCTTGCGCGTGGCGCGCCCAGGCTCCGCGGTCCGGCCTCTGCGACAGGCTTGGGTGGTTCTTCTCGGGGCCCTCCAGAGCTGGAACTCCCCGGGCGCCTGCTGCTGGCAGGCGTGGTTTGGGCGGGGGCCGTGAGCCGGCAGGCTGTGTGTCTGGGCCAGTATCTTTATTTTAAAACGTGCAGCCGGCTGCGGGCGCGGCAGCTGTGGGTGTGTTCCATGCTGCTGCCCACCGCAGCTGCTGTGGGCGCTACACAGCCTTTAAGCCGCAAAAATGTGACTGGTCCCTCCTCCCGCATCTGTGTTGCTCCGGTAGGCCGAGCCTCCAGTGACCTCTGCAGAAAAACGTATAGTTGCAAGGCTTCAGTTCCTCCCCTGGTGCAGACAATAGTGACGTTTGTCTTTGGGAGCCCGGGGAACGGGGCGGGGGGGGGCGGCAATTGAACTCTGAGTCCTGGGCACCGTCTGTAAACAGCAGGTGGTTTTGTCCCTGGCTCCCCTTTTACTACGAGCGAGGGGGAGGGGAACAGGAGGGAAGAGAGGTATGACTGAACCGCCTGGCGATCCATTCTTTAAGGCATCCTGGGTGCCCTGCATGCTGGAGGGAATAGAGAGGTGGCGCCTTCCAGTCCTTGGTCTAGTCAGCTGTCTTGCAAGAGAATGGAGCAGTGAAAAAGAGGGCTGGTTCTGGAGCCAGATTGACCGCCCTTGAGTCATGACTCCTTTACTGGCTTTGTGGTCTTAGGCAAGGTTCTCCTTGCCTTTGGTTCCATGGCTGTAAAACGGGTACACTAATAGTATCGGCCCCAGAATGCTGTTGTGAGGACTCGGTGATTTAAGACTTATAAATTTTTCATGCCTAACAGTTTGAGTGTTTGTTAGGAATTGTTCTTGCTGCTAAGATTTAGGCTGTCAGGGTTAGGTGTGGGTTGGATAGGGTGTTGCAAGGTGTGTAAGCTGAAACATTTTTTTTTTTTTTTAATTGAGGCAGGTTTTGCTATGTAGCTCAGGCAGGTTTCCAACTCATGATCTGCCTGCCTCAGCCTCAGGCATACACTGCCATGGTTGGCTTGAAACAGGTCTTTATAAAGTTTTTTAAATTTAATTAATTTAATTTATTTATTGTGTGTGTACCTACATGCACAAATGCACACACACATGCACTTGCATGTGTAAGTTAGAGGACAACTATCAGGAGTTGGTTCTCTCCTACCATGTTGGGTTCCAGGGAATTGGAATCAAATTCAGTTCCAAGTATGCACTGAGGCATCTTTATTTTATTTTTTTCCTTTTTCTGGTCTTTTTGAGACAGGATCTCCCTGTAGCCTCAGCTGGCCCTGAACTTCCTCAGTAGTCCAGGCTGGCTTTGAACTCACAGAGATCTGCTGAGACTAAAGGTGAGCACCACCATGCCCAGCAGAAGCAAATCTTTATCAAGAATAAAGAAGCTGGGTGTGGTGGCACACGCCTTTAATCCCAACACTCGGAAGGCAGAGGCAGGGGGTCTCTGTGAGTTCAAGGCCAGCCTGGTCTACATGGTGAGCTCCAGGACAGCTGGGGCTACAGGGAGACCCTGGCCTATATGAGATCAAGTCTTTTAAAAAAAAAAAATCTGGGCATGGTGGCACACACCTTTAAAACTTGCACTTGGGAGGCAGAGGCAGGTAGATCTCTGTGAGTTCAAGGCCAGCTGGGGCTACAGGGAAACCCTACCTCAAAAAGACCAAACCCCGCCCCCCAAAAAATCATACAAACATGGTTGCTCATACCTTTAATTCCTGTTAATTTTGGCTAGGAGAAATATATGTAATTATGTTCTCAAAACAAAAAAAGAAAAGGGAAAATGTTAGACACACTAGCACATATCACTTTGTTCTGCTGTTTAAAGTTGAATATGAATCTTGTGAACATTTTTGCTTGTATAATCTTCTCCAGTACTTATTCTAAGAGGCAGCAATTTGCTATGGCTTAGAAAGGCCAAGTGCATGGGAGGGTTGAATTTGGGGGTCTACAGGGGATGAAACCAGGCACATTTACCATGGACCTTAGATGTCCAATGAGTCATTGTGTGTGATTATGGCAGAGTGCCATGCAACTTGGAAACCTTCATCTTTCAGCACTGGGGTGGCAGAGGCAAGTGTATCTCTGTGAGATCAAGGCCATCCTGATCTACATAGTGAGTTCCAGGCCAGCTGGGGCTACAGGAAGACTCTGTCTCAGGAAAAAAGGAGGAAGGCAGGCAGGCCTGTTTTGGCCTCTCACACTTGGGTACTGCGGCAAAAGGCATAGGTTAGGAACTGCACATCACATAGACTTACAGGTCCTTGCACAGTTTCACAGTTCAGCCATTGAAGGCTCTTGTTAGGCTTCTTTTTAGCTCCTTGATGTTATTGAGAAAAAGTCCATGAACTATGTATGTTCCTATGCTGAAATATCTAGTTTTACTAGCAAAACCTCTTTGCTGAATCTTACACATTCCCTCTCATAGTTGGTTTTGTGAGTGTCCAATGAGAATGCCATGAGACCTTGCTTATCAAATAGACTGTGTGTGCAGCCAAGTGCGTGCAGATCTGGACCCACTGGCCACCAGCAGCTGAGACCCTTTTCCCATTGCTACCTTACTTGTCTCCCCAGGCAAAATATTTACCTTTAGTTATTGGCTATCTAAGCCTCCTCTGCTACCTTGCTCTGTCTTTTATTGGCCCCTTGAGTTGCTCCCAACTTTATATCCCAGGACTTCCCTGTGCCTTGTGACTGAATCGGACCTGGACTTTGTCCTTGGGCCACTGTTGCCATCCTGCTGGGACATTTCTCCTCACCTGGCTTGTGGCATTGCCCATGTCTGTTTCTGCAGTGGGTAAGATCTTAGATTGCTATGGTTGGCATTAATGGGTGTCTTTTCCTTCAAGATTGGCTGTGCTTGCCATTCTTCAATCTCTGAAGTATAATTGTAACATAAGTTAACTTCATTGGCATTTGTTGTGAGTTATGGTACTGTACAATTGCTCCCCTGTGTTCATTCTCTTGCTGAATACATACGAATCTTTTTATAGTGTGTGTACTGACAAGATTGTGACATCTGTTTTGCTCTACTGGAGAGTTTTGTTGTTGTTTGTTTTGTTTTTTGATTCAGCATTTGGTACAGCTTTTTCCTACTTCTACGTATCTGGTGGCAAGTCATAATAGCATTAGAAATATTTTTCAATATTCTATACAAGTATTCCCCAAGTATTGCTTATTCATTACTTTCTAGATTGAACAACTAATCTATGTTCAATTACTTGTGTGTGCATTATAGTGCCACAAACTTGGAACTTGGAAAGGAGAAATGCCAGATGGTTTTGAGAAGTAGCTCAGTTGCTAAGAGAGCTTGCCTAGCATGTACAAAGCCCTAGGTTTGATTTCCTAACACTCCATAGAATGGGACATGGTTAGCTCATCCCTATAATCCCAGCACTTGGGAGTTGGAGACAGGAGGATCAGAAAGTCAAGGTCATCCTCTGCTATATAGCAAGTTCCAGGCCATACTGGGCTATATGACACTCCATATCAAAAAAGAAAAGAAAGAGGGCCAGAAAGATGGCTCAGTACATAAAGGCACCTGCCAGCAAGCTGGATGACCTAGGTTCAATCCCTAGATCCCACATGGTGGAAGAAGAGAACTGACTCCACAAAGTTGTCCTTTGACATCCATATGTGTGCTATGGCATGTGTGCCCACATTTGTATACACACACAGTAAATAAACAAGTATAATAAAAAAAATTTAAAAAGAAAAGGGCTGGAGAGATAGCACAGTGGTTAAGAGCATTGGCTGCTCTTGCAGAGGACCTGGGTTTGGTTCCCAGCACTCAAATGGTAGCTAACAGCCATCCATAAGTCTAATTCCGGGGGATCCAACACCCTCTTCTGGGCTCCATGGCTATTGTATACACATGATACACATGCAGGCAAAACAGTCATACACATAATATAAATCAATATTAAAGAAAGAGCTGGGCATGGTGGCACATGCCTTTAATGCTAGCATTCAGAAGGCAGAGACAGGCAGATCTCCTTAAGTTCAAGGCCAGCCTGATCTACATATTGAGTTCCAGGCCAGACAGGACTAGATAATGAGACGCTATCTGAAAAAAATAAAAATGGATAAGTAGAAAGAGGGAGAGAGCGTGAGAGATGAAGGAAAAGAGGGAGGGAGGGAGGGAGAGAGAGAGGAAGGAAGGGAGAAAGAGAGAGAGAGCTCAGTGGGTAAAAGCACTTGCTGCCAAGCATAACAATCTGAGTTCAGTCCCTAGGACCTACATGGTAGAGAGAACTGATTCTTACAAGTTGTCCTTAGACCTCCACTTGCACACCATGGCAGA